ATCCGCCTCTTCCTTAGGCAATTTTAGACTTTCCCATTCTGCAGTCCATGGGTCCTTAAACCAAACCCATTCCCAACCTGGTGGTAATGGGTTTTCTCTCCCTTTTATCTCTGCCATCCCCGTCTCAATCTCAACCCTCATTTTCCTTCCCGTTCCCGCCAAATCGTCTGGGTTTTGAACAGCCACAGTTAACTCCCTCTCCAGGTCCCGGGTGTCAGTACCCATTGTTCTGTTCTTATGGGAGCTGGAGTGGGCAAGGTCTGTACCTCCCTTTCTGTTCTTTGTGGAAGGGACGGCACTCCAGCAAGAGACTCTTTTCTCTTGCCCCTGGTCTCACAGAAGGCCTTCTTAAATGAACAATGCAAAGAACCAGAGGAAAATATTAGAAAGGAAAAAGCCAGAGATCTGTTCAAGAAAATTGGAGATATTAAAATAACATTTTGTGCAAAGATGGACATGATAAAGGACAAAAATGATAGGGACTTAACAGAAGTAGAAGTCATTAAGAAGAGGTGGCAAGAATACACCGAGGAATTATACCAGAAAGATCTGGATGTCCCAGATAGTGTGGTTGCTGATCTTGAGCCCAACATCCTGGAGAGTGAAGTCAAGTGGGCCTTAGAAAGCATGGCTAACTACAAGGCCAGCGTAGGTGATGGCATTCCAGTTGAACTATTTAACATCTTAAAAGATGAGGCTGTTAAGGTGCTACACTCAATATGCCAACAAGTTTGGAAAACTCAGCAGTGGCCAGAGGAAGGAAAAGATCAGTCTACATCCAAATCTCAAAGAAGGGCAGCGCCAAAGAATGCTCCAACTACCGTACAATTGCACTCATTTCGCACGCTCGCAAGGCTATGCTCAAAATCCTACAAGGTATGTGGGCTGAAAACTCCCAGAAGTACAAGCTGGATTTCGAAGGGGCAGAGGAACTAGAGAATTGCTAACATGTGCTGGATTATGGGGAAAGCCAGAGAGTTCCAGAAAAAACATCTACTTCTGCTTCATTGACTATGCAAAAGCCTTTGACTGTGTGGACCACAGCAAATTATGGCAGGTTCTTAAAGAAATGGGAGTGCCTGACCACCTTATCT